AGTTTCGGTTAACTAGCCATTCCCTGCCCCAGTTAACAACAGATTATAGGTCACTTTTGAGGTCAGCTACCAAATTCACTTTAACGAACCGATCAGACTTACTATTAAGACAGGAGTAAATAGTTGTGTTATCAACATAGATACCTAGTTGAGAACAGGCGAACTTATGCACGTTTACATTGGGGGAAAATAAATATTCGTACACTTGAAAAATTGTATTTTTATCAATGTAAAAAGCCTTAAATAAAACAAATCTCGGCAAATTTTATGTATAAAGACACATATTATTAAAAAATAATAATAAACTTAATTAATTCTTATTCTAACAGAAATTAATGCATTTTTTAATTCTAACTGGTGAAAAAAGTATTCGTACAAATCAATTATTAGAATAAAATAATCAATTAATTAAGAAAAAATATATTCTAGAATGTTCCAGTAATGTTATCAGTAATTATAGTTAACGCTATTAGCCATTATCAGAGCATTCTGCAATTTCTAGTCTTATGAGAAATTTCTAATAATGTCTAAAGGTAAAGAATTGACTATTTCACAAAAACAACACATTTTGTCTCTTTGGAAAGATGGGAACGGTTACAGAACAATTTCTAACAACCTGCATATTCCTTTTACTACAAATGCTTCATTCATTGCAAGGTTTAAAACTCGTAACAGCATCAAAAACTAAAGACGAACAGGTGCTCCGAGGAAGCTTTCTCTAAGATCAGCAAGGATATTAGGATGCCAGATCCAACAAAATCCACAGGTTACCCAAGAAGAGCTGCAGGAATATCTGCGTGCATTAGGGATTAAAGTAACCAAGCGTGCAATAAGTAATGAACTACACAAAAACAGTCTGAAATCACGCATCCCAAGGAAGACTCCACTCCTCTTGAAACGACACAGAGACGCTAGGCTAAAATTCGTTAGAGAGCATAAGGATAAAGAATATTCATTTTGGGAAAAAGTGCTATGGACAGATAAAACTAAAATAGAGTTGTTTGGTCATAATTATCGAAATCATGTGTGGAGGAAGGACGGTGAAGCCTACTTACCAAATAACACATTGCCAACTGTAAAGTTTGGTGGTGGCAGAATCATGATCTGGGGCTGTTTTTCTGCAAAAGGTGTTGGCAGAATATCAATAATAGATGGCATGATGAATGCCGAAAGCTACCAGAAAATCCTACAAGACAATTTAATGCGTTCTGTTGAGAGACTTCGGCTACCTCCTGATTGGGTTTTCCAACTGGATAATGATCCTAAGCATACCGCTAGATCTACAAGGAAATGGTTAGCTGAAAGTAACGTTGATGTCTTGCAATGGCCAAGTCAGTCCCCAGACTGGAACCCAATCGAGAATTTATGGCGATATTTGAAAATTCAAATTGGGAAAAGAGAATCAACAAATATCAAGAATTTGAAGACAATATGCCAAGAAGAATGGGACAAAATACCACACAATGTGTGCAAATCATTAGTTGAGACGTACAGGAATAGCTGTTGAACTCAATAAAGGATATTCTACAAAGTATTAAATTAAGTTAATATGCTTTTTTTGTTTTGTACGAATACTTTTTTCATCAGTTAAAATGAAAAAAAATGCATTAATTTCTGTTAGAATAAGAATTAATTAAGTTTATTACTATTTTTTAATAAAATGTATCTTTATACATAAAATGTATCAAAATTTGTTTTAGTTAAGGCTTTTACATTTATAAAAATACAATTTTTCAAGTGTACGAATATTTATTTCCCCCCCCCCCACTGTATGTGCAAATTTTACATGAGTCATTAAAAATTTATGAGTTTCTTCTGCTGATTGAATTCATTCTTTTTGTTGATTACCATAACTTTTCGATCGATCCTTCTTTAGGTGTACAATAAAATCAATGATTCAAAAGGCTCTTCGATTAGTTTTATATATGTCCCTTTTTCGCCAACTCCACTTTAAATGACACAATAGAAGAAAGTTTTGCAATGTAAAATGCTAAAATCCATTTAATTATATCAACATTGTAAAAGGGCCGTAGAGAATATACATTTAGATTATTTTTCATCAGATCATTAAACGTTATTTGCACCAACATTAAACATGCTCTCTGGATAATCTGCATAGCATTTTCCAAGTTTTGTCAAATATATCCGTCTAATATTTGGAGGATCAAATATTGAAAACCCAAATTATTAAAACCGTCATAAAAGAATAAATAAATAAATAAAATGAACGGATTAAATTTTGCTGGGAATTTTCAGGTCGATTTTCTGATGCTATCAGAAAGCATCTTCGAATTCAAAGCCCAGATCTTGAAGTTCAAAGGCGTGATACAAAAATTAACCTTCTACCTCTCTTCTATATACCAACCTATTAACTTTCTGCATCTTTTCGGCAAAGTACTTGATGCTCTAATTGTTAAAGCATCTTGCCTCACAGCTTCTTTCAGATAAGCAATACGGCTTTCGCATCTCTAGATCAACTGCTGATGTATTAACGATTATTGCCGAAAGAGTCTATCAAGTTTAGATAAGAATGGTGAAACTCGGGCTATTGCTTTGGACATATTGAAGAAATTTGTCAGGGTTTGGTATACTGAGGTTCACAATTTGAAAGGTTGTGGTACATATGTACGAATTTTTGAACTTATTCAGCTTTTCTTACCACATCGCGAAATTATAGTTATCTTGAATGACCTCTTTTCTAAATTAATTTTGAATGTAAAATATAATATCAATAATATTGTTGCAACGAGGCATCTCTAATATATTAGAAAGAGAATATCATTTGATTCTATATTATTTTACCTGTATATGACGGCTGATCATTATTTATGTATGTAGAATTTCCTTGTCTCTCTTCCCATATATATATATATATATATATATATATATATATATATATATATATATATATATATATATGTGTGTGTTTGTTTGTTAATAAATATATATTTTCCCTCACCAGTAGCCCACTTGGAGTTTCATGCACAACTAATCTTCAGGTGCTGAGGATAGACTGACCGTTAAGCAATTTTAATTTTAATAAAAATATCTGGTTAACACAATGTTGGCGCAGTCCATATATTATAAAGAGATTACTTTTTTATACGATATATATATATATATATATATATTGTTGACTGTGAGTGTGTGTATGTGTATATAGATGCGATAGCCAACAATAAACTACAGAAGAACTCAAAATTGATCGCTGCATTTAAGTATTGCATTAATATTTAGGCTTACCTTTTAAAACTTCAACGATAATTATTCTGCCGACACTTAATTTAAAAACAATTTGATGTACGTAGGTCCTCATATTCCGTACAAACAATTATTTTTATTTCATGGCTGACTTTCGCTGGATTTCACAATTAATTTCGATTATTCTCAAATTTATTTCCAAGTTATAAGAATTGTTATCGTACAAAAAAATTCGTCGTAAAAAATCACGTACAAAAAGCGCCAAATACAATCGCAGTAATGAAAATTTGGGAATCCAAAATTTCAGTATTGTAGGTCCTGATCCTGTTCTTAATGTTTTTAATTTGCTCACGGTGAAGGCCTGATTCCAAAATAGTATAATATGTTGGGCTACGGCCTCTTGGTGTAAAGTTGAAAAAGTGTGACACATTGACACACTGACATTCGAATTTATTATATAGAAGATGATCTATTGAAAGTTAGAGAGTTGTATCCCTTTAAGTGAAAAGTCTGACACACAGACACACTGACATTCGCATTTTATTTATATATATATATATATATATATATATATATATATATATATATATATATATATATATATATTAAAGAGATTACAGTTTTACACCCACAAAAAAACATTAAATTTAAGAGAAAAAAAACCTAACTGACAAATGTGATAATTTGCATTAAAATTAATTAATTAATTAAATATATATTAATTAATTAATTAAATATATATATATATATATATATATATATATATTTAATTATATATTATATTTGTATATATATATATATATATATATATATATATATATATATATATATACACACACGTTTCATTAAAACGACTGACAAGTTACTGCGGTTAAGTTTTTTTATTGAATTTTTCATGTATTTTATAATGTTCTTCTTTTCTGTACGTAAATTATATAGAAATTGTCCAAATATTTTGTATGTCCGAGCGCTTTCGGCTATACTTTTAGCCATTATCAATGATAAATTTTATTTTTACTTTTAACTGAATATATGTACTGTTTTATGTATGTATCTAGAGTTATAGGACTGTTTTATTTTTCAAACACGGTCAACACATTGTAGCCGTGTTCATAGTTGATGTTATTGAGTGGCCGCTTTTTTTTAATTAATAATGATTCCATTATTTTTAGCCTTTTTTTTACATGTGGATGAGGTTATTACTTTTGTATTATCAACGTGTATATTGCGGATAAAGTTTGGTAGGTCTCTGTGTGTATTAAAATGACACCTAATTCAGCTATGATCAGAGAAATGTAACATAGGTCTTTTTGTTAGGCATGTTACATATTTCTGACCATATTTGAATTATGTCTCTTTTAAATACACATGGAGATATAATGCCAAACTTTATCCGTATATATATGCCAAACTTTATCCGTATATATATGTTATATTGACGACAGATTTTTTAACATAAAAGAAACATAATAATTCCATATCGATGTCTGTATATATATATATTTAAAGAAAATAGTATTATCTATCAATCAGTTTTCTACGTATTCCGCTTAATCAATTAACTATTCTTTTTATATTTTTCAAAAACTTCATGTTGATGTAGGCTTGTTAATATCTTTCTATCTGTATCAGTTTTTTGTAGTTATCTAGCTAGCATATATGCAAGCAAAAACAATAAAAATAAATTCCTACTAATATCCTTGGGAACAATATACAAGATAAATAATGGAAACCGAGTAAAAAATCCAGAGATTACCAAAAAAACAAAAAAAAAAGCAACAAAAAACCCCATCACCAAATCAAGAACATTTCACCCCGAACGCCGGAACGGCAGTGAGGAGCTCAATCGTTGACTGTGTCTTTGTCTGTAAAGGAGAGACATACGACAGAGGAAAGGAAATCGAAATGACAGGAAATGGTTGCCTGCGCATGTGCAAAAATGACAAGAAGTCAGGATGCTGAGACGAAAAGCAAATAGCAACCGAAGTTTTGCAATTTAAGATAAAGGCAAAGTGTCCGACCGAAATGATAAGATGTCAATGAAAAATAAAAGAAAAATCTTTTAGTTGATGGTCAGCCTGAAACCACAATGGCTTTTATAACAATGTGTGATGATAATGTTAGTTACATTTCTTGACTTCTGACACCGTTTTGCCGATTGAACTTAATATGTATTGTTGACAACTTGATAAAATTCCGGAGAATTGTTTTTATGCTTAAGGATAAACATAATATATATTCTTTCTTGTGTCAAAATGGCAAATTGTTTCTCACTTTGGTAATTGTTAGAGACAATATTTTTGTTTTGTTCTGAGATTTTTCTAATCTAATGAATAGAAAAATCTCAGAAGAGAAACTATCAAGTTTAAGAAAGTATATAATTTCTGGTTATGAAAATTGTGGGTTTTTATGAAAATTGTGGGTTTTTATTAAAATGTGTTTTTTGGGAATGTGAATGGGTGGTTGTTTGTAAAGGCGAAATCAGAATAATAAGAATTAGGGTGAAAAACAATCGATTGAGACAGATTTTAGTCATTATTAGTCATTAGATAAACGAGTCATTATGACGTATTCATGTGTTCCTGTATAATTAGATAAACACAAGATAGATATGAATAGAATTAGATAGATAGATAGATAGATAGATAGATAGATAGATAGGCAGACAGCATGACCCTGAAAAATAGATGTGAGTTAATAACGAAAAAAATTAAACATATATTTTCACACCCACAAGCCTGCACAAATATATGCGGAAACAAAAGGACAAATAAGAATGTTTGTTCGAATTTTTACACACAGTGGCGAGTATTTAGATATCGATGTGCATTCTATGTTTCTATAAAACCATTATATATATATATATATATATATATATATATATATATGAATTTGGGCAGCAATCACTCTTTTATAGAGGTTTCATTAAATACGACTGACAAGGTACTGCGTTTAAGTTTTTCATTTAATATTTCTTGTATTCTTATAACTTTCTTCTTTTCAGGATATAAATTATATATAGTATATATATAAAGTATATAAATATATATATATATATATATATATATATATATATATATATATATAGGTATTAATTAAATAGAGTTGTGTCCCTCGTGAAAAATAGGGAAAGTTTTCCAAGAGAATAATTTTGCAGATTCGCCTAATTTCCAACTTCCTTAGGTCTCGACACTTCTTAGAATAAAAAAATATTGATTATTCTATCGATTTATATAGGTGCTCCTCAATACAATATATATATATATATATATATATATATATATATATATATATATATATATATATATAATAGCTGGCCACTCGTATTCAAGGATACCGGTCTACTAGGGCGGCCAGTCAATCTTTATTGCAGACGCTCGCTCAGGCGCATTTGTATTTGCTCACGATGACTTTGGCTTTGTGCTTTTCACTCACAAGGCTTGGGTCAACAACCCCTGGTATTGTTCTCAGGCACTTTCCATTCCGATATATATATATATATATATATATATATATATAGTAAACATTTTATTACTATTAAACAAATAAATATAGCATGCATTAAAAGTCTATTTTATTATCTTAAAGCAAAAATCTGAACGAGGCAAATAGATCCCTGCTCGGCTATGAGGCTCTCCGCAGCCGAGTAGTCGGATGAGACAGTGGTTCCTCCTACAAAGGTGGACGCATTTTCGAATCCTACGGTAGGAGACATTTTCTTTGTTAATTAAAAGTGTATGGGTGTGAGAGGGGGAAAGAAAGAAAGAAAGAATGAATGAAATTGCATGAAGAAAGTGGATAAAAAAACGAATTATGTTGAAAAAGTAAATGTTTTCATTGAACTTATTGATATTAAATGCAAAACGGTGCAATGCAACCAGTCTATATCTATAAAACAGAAGATGTCTATGTGTGTGTGTGTGTGTGTGTGTGTGTGTGTATGCTATTTATACACGTCCACATTTCTCGACTGACTTCGATGAAATTGTACATACATATTACAAATTTGCTAAATTATATCAAGACCATATTTTCAGCTCCCCCGCTTCGGGTTTGGCAGAAAAATCGATAAAACTGAAGGTGGGTCCGATTTTTTGCAAAAACCAAGACAAGGTTATACGCGAACGAAATTTTTACTGGATGAGCTGATGTTACGAGGTTTATGTAGAGTGTTTGACAATTTTTCTGCGACATTGACTTCACACAAAAAATTGCAAAACACTGTGAAAAAATCGACTTGAATAACTTTTTATCAGATTTTCTTCAAACATGTCGCAAACTGTTAAAAAAGTCCGTTTTTCGGCCATAACTCCCTAGTTTTTTATCCGATGCTTTCCAAATCTGTCATGTAAATTACATATGACACACAAATTGTCTTGTATGAAAGTCTGGATTAATTTATTTTAGTTAAGTGGACGAAATCTGCGACAAACTAGGTCCAAAATCGGCTTTTGCCATTTAGCCAATAGTTTCTTCATATGATTCCATCCTAAATTGGCATTCGAACAACATTTGACGTAAAAATTGTTGAGAAGGCTTATTGAAACGTTAAAAGGGGAAAATTCCTGGAAGACCTCTTATTTATTCCCAGATTTACAGTAAACGTGCGAAGAAGGAGGTGGGGGCGTTCATGCGTTTGCATTTGCTGTTGAACCAAGCTCTGACGCTTCATCCCTGTTTTTGTTTCATTATTACATTTGTGAACAATGTCATACTATTTGAAAGTTATTACGGCCATAGGAAATTTACTGAATATCTAAAACATTGAAACAATTTAACTCCGAACAACGACCACACAAGAAGGATTTTTCGATGGGATTCCTTTATTAAGATATGCCGTAAAACACAGGATATACCGTAAATAAGATGAGTGGCGGGGAGTAGCATACTATACCAACTGATGATGCATGCAAGCGGGGACGAGGGAAGACATTTCTAGACAGGGGGTGCGGGTATACAGAGGGGTGCGGTTATAAAATTGCAGCCATGTACATTCGGGCAATGCCAGGTACCTCGGTTAGTTTTATTTAAAATAATATAATTATGTATAACTTGATTTAACAATAAAAATGTGTACGCTCTCAAAACGCTTACAACGAGGCTCAAATTATCCATTCAGTCCAATTAATCTCATTTAAATAATGTAATTAATTTGTTAAATATTGAAACAGATATTATATTTAAAAGTTAGGATATGATCTTAGGTCCCTAAGTCCCGAATCCATTTCAGAAACTTTTATTAAATACATTAATATTATGAACAGACCAGGAACGATATAGATTAGGACAAAATTATTTGTACGCTTCAATTAATAATCAATTTCACAGCCATTTTTGGGGGTGGGGGTGGGTGGGAAGTTGTATACCTTTAAGTAATCGTTTTTTCTACATTTGTTAACGAATTCACTAAAAAATTATATCATTTGAAAGAGAATCGCTCTAATTATTAAAGTTAAATGTTGTTTTGAATGAACCCTAAGTTCTAGCCCAAAATGTTTTATTGAAGTCAGGTGCGACCTCATTGCAGGTCTAGGTAAGACGGTGAACCAATTTTTCACCAGTCCATTTGGATGTTTAGGATCATTATCGTGTGGCAAAGTGAAACGTCGTCTTCCAAAAAGATAACCTGGCAGAATCATTTTTTTTCTTTCAAATATAAGGGTAACCGACTTTTTACATGGTTTCGACGATTTTTAAACAAATGGTCCGTTCTATTGTCACTAAAACAATCCAAAATGATATGATTTCAACGTCATGTTTTATACTAGGAATGGTATGGAGTCAAATGATTTTCGACGAGGCAGCCCAACAAACAACCCGTGGTCAAGAACCTGGTTTCTAGGGTCTATAGCGTCAACACTCGCTCTGCTCGAATTTGTCCAAACAATTCAATTTTAGTGTCCTCATTCCATAAATCTGAGTTCCAAAACTTACAGTCTTTTGTCAAGTAGGCATGTGCAAATTCCAACCGAGGTTTACGATGATGACTTTTGAGTAAAGAAGCTTTTTCTTAGATAATAACTTCTGAGAACATCTGCTTACGGTACAATGTGATACATTTACGCCATTGTTTGACAAATCAGAAACAATCATCCCAATTTTAGCGGGTTGGGGGTTCTGACATTCAGGAACGATCATACTTTGTAATCTTAAGTTTTAGGAAGAGTTTAGGAAGAGTTGCAATGGTTTTGGACTCACGATATTTTTGTATATACTGTACAGTCTACTTGGACACTGAAAACTGCTTAGCTTCTGCTCTAAGACTCATTCTAGAATTGCAAACCTTCACAATTCATTGTTTTAAACCCTCAAATAAATATTCCTTCTTCAACATGTTATTGATAACCAACTTGAATTCAACAATTGCTCATGTTCATTACAGCAAACTTAAGTTCTTCTAAAACATTTACAGATCTTACAGATAAATCCTGATAGACTACCTTGTCATAACAGGATATAAATATGAATTTCACAAATAATTAAAGTAATTTTCTGGCCTACGGATAATTTTGTTCTTGCCATTTTTTTTATATCGTATTTATAACTAGCAGTAGAGCCCGGCGTTGCCCGTGGATGTAACAGTAAGAGATAGATCAAGTATCGACCATCAAAAAGACTGAAAAATAAAATTGACAAAGATTATTGTTTAAGGTTGATGGACACGCATGTCTTAATTTTTTTTTTTTTTTTTTACGAATTGGTCAAACCCAAACTCAAACAAAAACATTGTTTTCAATCGATTGAATAGAATTTTATTATAAACAATTGTCTTGTAAATGGAATTTTAAAAGCATTCTGAATGTAAAAATAAAGAAAAAAGTGTGCAAGACAATAAGAAACACTACCTGCCAAAAAAAGTGAAGTTTTGTTGAAATCGGTTGAAAAATGTAGGAAATCCGATCCTATATATAAACGAACACAGGGACACACAAACAACCTGGGTTTTATAAGTATAACTCGATATGAGTTGTTCCCCTTTCATTCTAGCGACTTAATCGTGTTTTCAAATTGATTTCGTGCAAAAACAATTGTGTTTTTCCAATTTTGGGCGCTGTCAGAACCACCGCAAGGTAATTTTACGTAGTCCTGTGAAATTTTGTTGAAATCGGTTGAAAAATGTAGGAAATCCGATCCAATATATAAACGAACAGACACACACACACACAACCTGGGTTTTATAGTAAGTATGATGCTATTGTATTCAATAAGTAGTTTCTGGAATGGATTATATTCAATTTATTCGACGCTCAAAATCATATGCCTTCTTTTATATATAAAAATCATGTTTCAATATTGTTAAAATTAATTATATTATTTTAAATAAAATTGATTATACCGCCCAGATAATTTGGCGCTGTACGCATATATATTTCTGTGAATATGTATGTATTTATATGAATTTTGTGTATGTATATGTATATCTGTACACATATCTGTTTGTCTTTCAGTGTATGTATGTGGCTGTGCATGTATTTGTATGTGTTATGCAATAAGATATACTGATTTCAAAAAGCCACTATCAAAATACTGATGCATTATACGGTATTGTAAACTGACATTGGATGTCCTCAACTCTCGTCCCTTTTCTTTCATGGGTAAGCATTTTGATTGCGCATTCCTCTTACACCTAAATAAATGGAGTAGAAAATGGGGATAAAATTATTTTCAAGTTGCAACAAATGTTTTTGTCAAAATTATCTCACTTGGGAATATGAATAAATAGCATTTACAGCATCGTATCTGTATAGATAAATATTGACATTTTCAATAAGGTTCTGACTGAATTAGAAAAAAATCAATATATATATATATATATATATATATATATATATATATATATATATATATATATGGGGGTGAATTTTATATGTAAACAATCTTTTGGCATGTTAACGCATATATTTATATTTCTTCTCGTACATGCGGAAAGACATATGTGCCGATCAAGAAATATATTATGGACGTCATAAACACACTAAGATGTGTTCACCTTCTGACATAGATATGTGAGCTCGTGTTTCCATGACTGCTTCTTATATTGGACAGTCGACATACTAGATATTATGAAGAAAATTGGGCTCGATACGAGTAAAGCAATTATTGCAGGCAAAGGTTTGGACTGGAAACCAGTTATTTGGCGCGAAGGAGACGAACGGGTGTGAATAAGAAAGCAAAAAGCGAATGGAAATGGAGAAGAAGATAGGGGAGAAAAATGAAACGTGATAAGAGAAAGAATAAGAGGAAAACGAAGAAACCGAGAAAGAGCGGAAAAAATATAAGCAAAGCAAACATGTTGAGTATAGAATAGAAAAGAAAAAAAGGACGAAGTCTAGAATGGGAAATAATAAATAAGAGCAATAATAAATAAGAAAGAAAGAAAGAAAGAAAGAAAGAAAGAAAGAAAGAGGAAAAGCAGTATCAGAAAAAGAAGAGGTGAGAAGAAGAAGCTTGGAATAGTAGAACAGTAGGAGGAGAAATGAGATAAAATAAAAACAGACGAAGAGAATGATTATGCAGAAACAAATTAGAGAAGGTGTCAAAGAGTGTAGATAGGAAGAACAAAGAAGAATAAAGAGAACAAAGAAGAGCAAGAACAACAAAGAAGAATAAAAAGAATAAGAGTAAGAAGAAACTGAAGTAAAACTAATACGAATATACAAGAAGAAGATTGATATTGATGACGTGGCAAATGATACAAAAAGAAAAGAAAGCAAGGCGAAGATACAGAATAAAAGCAATAATAATGATAGGTGAGGTGTTAATATAAATCCGTGCAAGTCTCGCGCAAAGAATGATGGGATAGCGCTGAGCTACCATTATGACCAATAAATAAGACATCAAGACATCTTCACATGATTTCGTTGGATTATGACAGGCCGACTAGTAACAACCACTTATTTTTCTTTTCTTTCCGCATCTTTGTCCTTCTTAATGTTGCTTTTTCTTTCTCTTCGTTTTCTTTCTCTTCGTTTTCTTTCTCTTTTTTCTTTTATTCTCTTACTTTCTTCATACATTTTCTTTCCATAACATTTAGCTGTTAATTTATTCGTTTCTTTAACTTTATTTTCTCTTTTTCTTTCTTTCTTTATTTATTCATATTCATTTACTTTCCACTTTTTATTACTTTTCACGTTTCATTCATTAATTCAAACTTTCTTTTCATTATTTTTGTTATTCACTGACTCCTATTTTTCTTTATCCAATAATTCTTCTTTTTTATTCTCTATTTTTTCTTCTTTCTTTATTTGTGTGTGTGTGTGTTTTGTGATGAGAGAGGATTTTGCTTGGTTGCTTTTTGCGCCTCAACGTTATTTTTAGCTGAGAGGCGTCTGATTTTTCAAGACATTGTTAATGAATACAATTCAAACTGCAGCCTTATTTGAGCCTGAGATAAATCATATCGATAATACTATTAACGATAATAATAAAAAGGTGACGATTTCGATAATAATGAGGATTGCAATAAAGAGGAATATAACATTGTTGATGATGATAATGATGGGGATGATCATAATAATGACGATAATATTACTCATAATAATAATAATAATAATTATTATTATTATTATTATTATTATTATTATTATGTGTGTGATTTTTGAGTGGAAGCAGTGGAAAATGTCATGAAACCATTTCCGAACATTGGTCTCTGGTTGGAACTCAGAAGGAAATGTGTATAGAACAGAAATCAAAGGAAATAATTTAATTTTAAAAATTCCAAAAGGAGAAGTTAAAAATGGAAAAGAAAACAGCTGTATAGAATTCAAGTGATAGACAGAAGGAATGACCAATGACATGGACATGATTGCGATGAGGGCATTTGAAGAAGAAAACTAAATCCCTATTAATGGCGACCCAGAATAGTTCTAAAAAACAACCTCTCTATAAAAGTCAAAATAGGACACAACAAAACAATAAATGTACATTAAGCGGAGAGAGGCATGCAGTCAGAAAGACAAGGCAGAGAGGAAAAGAGCCAGAGAGAGATGAAATGACACGACATAAGATGAGTCTGTCGGTCATATATTAACTGAATACAGCAAATTAGCGCAGGGGAAAGAATAAAAATAAATATAATCGGGTAGGAAAGCTGATTCATCGAGAATTGTGCAAACGATTTGGATTTGACCATGAAAAGCAAAGTATATCCACAAACCAGAATCTGTCTTAGAGAAAAAAGATTTCTGTAAAGTATTAAAAAAAGTTTTCTGTTAGGATAAAGGAAAATTGTTTCTATAAAGGATAAAGAAACGTTTTCTATAAAGTATAAAGGAAAAGGTTTCTACAAAGAATAAAGGAAAACGTTTCTTGTAAAGTATAAAGACAGCACTTTCTATGATGGATAAAGGAAAAAATATAATAATCACGTAGAATACGCCTGTAAACACAGGTAAGAAATTTGTGGTCCATAAAAATAATATAAAAGCAATGACCATTGTTGCTAAACATTTGTACTCAAGCGATTTATGTTCAGAATTCCAATTGTACTATTTTCCATACGCTAATAATAATAATAATAATGTCCCTAATAATAATAATAATAGTAATAATAAATGACCCGACGCGACATCCTGCACGGCTATGATGGATTCTGATGGCAACTGATTACAGGTGTTAACATATACATTGTTTTATTGAATTAAGATGAGCTACAGTAAATATTTTGTTCTTTATCATAGAGTCGCTTGTCTATTGCCTAACTATAACCAATTGGGCATGTCCCGTAGGGACTGACGCACTGTATATCTCTGGCTAGGAGTTGGAATAGTAGGGAACATTATGATTGGGTGTCAAGAGTTTCTTTTTTAAAAGTTTGAACGATTAGACAGCCATTTATATTTTTAATTCCGCGCATGCGCGTTGTTTGTTTTTGATTTTGTCGACTGCTCAGTATAGTAGGGTCAGTTGAACATCGTATGTGAGAAAAAGAACACCATGAGGCAATTCTCTCCACCATAAATTTGGAAATTCACGCCGGAATCTCCAATAAAAACATTTCAGAGTGGGTGTTAATCTGAGGACAGTGCAGAGGATTCGGAAAGAGGTGGATGTATCCAGTCCATGGTGTTCGGAGTGACCACTAGTTATGGCGACATTATGTCCAGGAGAAGCCAGTCATGGCTGTCAGACAATTTCTGCGACCACATCACCCCTAATACAGGGCGCGATGGATAAATTGTCGTCTAAATTACGCAAAAATGAAAATAACACTGAAAATGTACCTTTCCTGTGGCTTTTCTGTAAATACTTTCATGGTAATTGTTCGAATAAACATTCCGCTATGGTACCCAGACTTTATGAATTTAAGCGCAGTTCTTGATTAGCAACAAAATATCATCAATTTACAGTTCAATTGGTTAGACGGAACTGTAAGTTCTATGATAACAATTTCTGTTCTCGCATTTCCCGCTTGTGGAACTCTCTTCCGATTCCATTCTTTCAAACATTGATTTAAAAAAATTAAATGCAATGTCACTCGTTATCTACAGTCTTCTTGATTACACTTCTTTTATTGTTTTCGCTGTTAATAATGTCTTTTTTTTCTTTTACTTATATTATTCACGCTCAGTAGAGCCTTGTGTCTTATGGGCTTTACTGTCTTGCTTGGGGTAAAATAATTTTTTTTAAAGTTAGGGATTTTCTTTCGAAAAGATTGCTAAAATTAACATACACATAAGTGAGACCAGAGATGAAAAGAGCGAAATGAAGTGACCTACATAATAAAAATGAAGATACTAATCTGAATAATTCCTGGAATGAAAAAACAAAAATAATTTATATATTTTTATAATTTATTTCTGTTTCTTTTGCAGCTGGTCACAAAATGGGAATATATATTGTCATTGTTGAGTATATGTGTTCGGCCAGCATTGCTTACAAATGACCGTAGAATAACTATCTAACAATTGTGGTAAAAAGCAAGAGAAACAGAATAAATCAAATAGTAATCAAAACTTAATAATAATTCGGTATTTCCCCAAGTCCTCCCCACATGATAGGATGTGGGACAAGGCCGGGTTTTTTTAACGTGGGGCATTCCGAGTCCACAGGCTCGTGTAAAAATTCACCATAGACCTCGTAATAACGGGGTCTGTTAACTGTTTACCTCCCCAGACGAGACTATTCTTTGTCATAATTTCGTCTGGGTTCCTCTTTGCCTGAAGGTAGAGAGTTTGACAAACTGTGTACTGTCATCTGTAAGAAAATTGTCCAACATTCATTGCCATATAGGAGGATTTATATTACATAGCAGTTCATCATTCTTTTCTTTGTTTCTAATTGTGTGTAAACTAAATGTCTTACCAAGGTCATAACATTCTAAGACATGTTCACCTTCTGGCTTATATAAAATCCACTGTTGATGAGATACATTTTTGTCGAGTCATTTTCCCAAAGATCAAATCCGAAGCCAGTTTGCTGAGTCAGCTATCCGTCACCACGTACATCATTAATAAAAACTAATAGGAACAATAAATAGTAATAATAACTATACTTATCCGATAATTAATTAATAATGTTCTAGAAAACACAAAGTGTACTACTTTTAATAGCACTCCACTTACTAGCAACTTCCCTGTTCATTCAGCAATAGTGACAGTTGCAACTCGTATTAATAGTGTAATTAATAATGCACTTAACTCTCTTCAGACTGATTTCATTTTGAAATTTTACCATTTAACCCAAATTTAGATTCAATTTATGAGCTATCAAAAATTAAGCCGTCTTTACCACATACACGAAGTCTAATCAAAAGTATCGAGACTGCTGATATAAAAAGGAAACTACAACCTATGTCAGTTCAGCATTTAATCTCCTTCGAAGTAATCCCCTTCTGAAACCACCCAGTTATTCAGCGTCTTCCATTAATGGAAGCATTCCTGGAATTCCTTTTGGGGCATGGCGAGCAGCTGCCTCGTCGAATTCTCTTGGATTTCCTCGATGTCTTGAAAATGTTGTGCTTGACCAAATACTACTGCGCAAATTATAGTCACTGATGGAACCTCTGTGGTGCGGTGAGACGACCACACTCTACACACTTTCCTCCCAAGCACTGCCATAAAAACGGAAGTGGGCGAGAAAGTTATAACAGTGTGTATGCGCGACAGAGTTCAACTTCACTTTGCGTATTTTAGCTCCGTTACCATAGCAACAGTCCAGATACTTTTTCATCAGACTTCATGCATCAAGAGGATTATGCGTGTTAAATGATAGAGGCATTTGTATATATTGGTATCTGGTTCTGATTGTTTCCATGGAAACCGAATGTTGTAAAATATCCACATCGCCTTTTGGTCAGTCAGATCTGCCTAGTTCGCCTAAAAAAAGGGTTAAACATAAATAGTCCATCGAAAGCTTCAATAACTACCAATACTTCATAACAAACAACTTGGTAATTAATAACAATACAACCGACAGAAACAACAATTAGATAAAAAAAAAAAAATTATTACCGCTACTTCAAAATTCGACATTTTCGTTAATATCCCCGTCCCTAAGACTACAACCCGATCGAGTCATCATAGATGTCAGAGGTTGTATGATGTACAAGTCATAAACGATGAAGGATGGGTGAAGTCTAGAACTGTAATAATGACAGTAATATTTCACACGACAGCCACATCTAGGGTAACAGCACAACACGATACCGACCTATGTGTTATTTTTTTCTTGCTCTTTTCATTGTTTCTTTTCCTTTTCGTTTATTGCGACAAATGTCAAAAGTCTATCGCACTGCCTACACGAACGCCACCGTCTTTTAATGAGGAATTCTTGACTTGTCCACTTATCAGACATTTTTTGATTTTGTGCGGGAAACAAAACAGTTGTAGCTTTAGGCAATGTGGCCGTCTCGGGTTACAATCCTAAACGGGCGTCGTTTTCTGTTTATGTGTTTGCATTGGTAAGATGCGTTTAGCTTATGTGGTCAGCTCAAAATGAAAGAGACTGAAATGAACAGCATGGTTGTTTTTTTTTTTTTTTTTTTTGCTTTTCTTTTTGTAAAGAAAACTGTGTTGCAAATGCATCATCACATCGTGTGTTTATGTTATTAGAGAATACTTCGACAATTGTAATAATGGCTACTTAGATTTAAGGCTCCGGGACAGTTAAGAAAATATTTCTTATGATACGTCTTTCAGTGGTTCCCATTTAACTGCTATAAATCCATTTTCCCACTAATCAGGTAAGGATGTATGTTCGGCTAACTGATGGGATTGTTCAATAATAATTATTATGCTTACGGCCATACCACGTTGAAACACCTGTTCTCGTTAAGCAACATCGAACCTGGTCAGTACATAGATGAGTGACAGCTAAAGAATAATGGGAGCTGTAAGCCTGGATGTGCGGGTGGTGTAATGGATAACGACTCGGAATTGGAAATTAGAGAGCTGAGTTCCAATTCCATTCGAGTTCGTTATATCACTTATGCGCAAATACAATTACGAAAGATATGAATCCACCTCTTCTCCCCCAGCTACTGGTTAATTAGTATGACTTGTTTCAGTAAATCATTATTATCTCCAAAAACATCTTACAATCTAAAAATATTTTCTGGCTTTAAATAACCTGCAAACGTTTGATAAGCCGTAGGAAACAAATCAATCAATAATAAATATTTCTAATAAACGAATAAGCAAAAAGAAATAAGTTTGAATCAAAGACGATGATCATAGACAAAGCCTTTCACCCTTTTCAAAGATGGCATTGATTTTCTAATTATACAAAGAAACACTGCATTGCAGCTTGTGTCGAAATGGCTATCAAAGAATTTGCGGACTACACAAAGGAAAATTGCAAGAACGTATAAAGTGATTATAATCTATACAATTATTATACTTGTTTGTACAGACAACTGTTACATTTTTCTACACTAACTTGAAGGTGAAGTGGTTGCCTTCTGAGAGAAGAGTATTAGGAAAACGAAGAAAAGGAGGAAAGACAAAAGATGTTATTAAGAAAAAACAGTAGAAGAAAACGAGAAAAAAAACGAAATGAAAATAAATAAAGGGAATACACACAAACAAAATAAATATATATATATATATATATATATATATATATATATATATATATATATATATATATATATATATATATTAGAAAAGTTTGTTAAATTCAACTGGTAAAGCCTGTTTATTTAAATTTATGCCTGAACAAAACCAGAACAAAAACATTAACTTTCGACAGTTTATTTACAATTTTGATTTGTCTATACATTAACTTATTACAACATCTGTCTATTTGTGTTCGGGCTGTTGTCCTCATATTTGTCAACATTCCGAACAATGTAAACAGTGCAAATAACTTATTACAAAGTTAGAAAAATATAAAAGATTAAATGGAACGTTTTTGCATGTATATGTGTGCCTGCCTCTCTCTCTCTCTCTCTCTCTCTCTCTCTCTCTATATATATATATATATATATATATATATATATATATATACCGGGTGTAACACAAAAATTTATCCAAATCGTGTAACTCTAAAATTGTCCATTCGTTTAATTAAGCTTGGACCATTATATCCTAGAAATTAATAAAGATATCATACTGGAATTATGCCAGGTTTTTGTAACATTATTAGACTCTACTTCGAGCAATAAGAACTTATAATTACTCTCCAAGCTAAACAGCAGAATCGTGATGAACTCGATCATAAACGAAAACGACGTTTTCATCATTAATTAATCATAGCTAACTATCGGAAGCTCATGAAGGATTGAAATAAAGTTCACACACACACACACACACACACACACACACACACACACACACACACACACACACACACACACATATATATATATATATATATATATATATATATATATATATATATATATATATTACTCCAGGATCATTTTCCAACTTATTTAAGATGATCTTCGCCCACTCTAACCTTCTAACTTTCTGTCCTGCGGTAACAAGGTGCCTCACTGGTTTCACGTACCATTTAATTTTTGAGGTTTTTTTCTTTGGATTGTCATAGGTGAAACTTCTCTCTCACGTGCCAAACGTCTTATGGATTGTTTGGATCTTTTCTAATTGATCACTTTAGCTCTAAGTTGAAATGATGATCACTCTTCCTGTTGTAACTGCCTAGATTTCCTCTCTACTATTCCCTCTTTTTTAAAACTTATTCACCGTTATCTTGATTGTTCTTGAATGGACTTTGAAGATGGAAGCCAGAGTATGAATGTTGGTACCATTACTGAAGACCTGGATGATCTTTTTCCTCTCACCATTGCGCATTTGGGAAGGCACAAACGATTTTAACCTTTTTCTGTTTCTAGCCAATAACTCAAAGGGTTTTTCAGTGATTCTTACGATAAATGGCATCAAGATGGCTAAATGTCTTATCTGGAAATCTGGGAAAAGAAACTCAGTTTGGTGTTGTTTTAGATATTAAACATTTTGTGGGATGGAAAATTATGCTGTTACACGATTTGAAGAATTTTGATTTTACACCCGGTATATATATATATATATATATATATATATATATATATATATATATATATATATAGAGAGAGAGAGAGAGAGAGAGAGAAAGAGAGAGAAGGTATCTCATTTATCAACACCTGTCAAATTTTCATGGGTTCAGCTAAAAGGGACTTGCAGTTAAAACTGGAAGTGGTGAGGGATGGAGTCGGAAGGTATAAGCAAAGTGTTAGATCAGGGGCCGGATTTAAGACTTAAGAGGTTCCTGGGTTAAAAGAATATGGTAACCTCTTCATTACGTTTGTTCGCCCTCGTGTCTGAAAAAAATATTTAAAATATGAAACACTTCAACTAAATTTTTTTAGGATTTTGGATTTCATTTTTTTTTATCCGAACTTTACATTCTACAGAAATGTATCTAGGATGGAGGGCATGTATTATACTGTAATTCTAGTATTAATACAAAATAATTTCTAGTATTAGTTCTAAATTAGTTTAAAGAAGCCCCATTAAATCTGAAAATAAACAATTCTTCTATGTTCTTATATCTTTATTTTATTTATCAGGGGCAAAAGACTAGAGGAGCTCGTAAGGATCCTCTCGTCTTGAACCGCTGGGTTTCAGCTCGTGCTAGGACATATGTAAATCCTGTACTGGGTGAGATAAAAGAAAATGCATGAGATAATAGATAATCTTAGTTGTTACTCCCACCATGGAATTTCTACGGATTCATCTCGCAAAAATAATAATTGCACAAACAATAAGAACAATACGAAAATGAATGGAATAGAGAAAAATAAGTTTTCTAGTTTCAAATAGAACAACATTCAGCTAATCTCTTACCGACAAGATAAGAGTGAACATCAAACGTAACCAATAATGTCCAATTTCTTGGAACTGATAGAAGCCTGAAAATGTTAATGTAAATATAAGTTTGTGAGATAAGCTGAATTAAATTTGCATTTATGGACGTCTTGGAGACATTTGGCATTTTTCTTGCTACTTATTCTTCTTACTGTGATGTCCTCAGTTCAATTGCAATTAAATCTGGACATTTTATCCTACTGGGCTGGAAATGATAGCAGCAGGTGCTCGGCATGGGAGGCATTTCATCACCCCACGCTTTCCGTAGTTGTAGGCAGTTGCAGACTGGATGGACAGTTAAACATACCGGCGCTGCGCAGACGGAAGTTAATTTATCACGCGTTTTGCGCATATAGACGCGTCTTCATTCATCTACGTGAGCATATCTAATGGTTTTACCCCTGACTGCGCGTCACACTATATGTTTACATTCATAATTATACATTACTATGTTTTTATGCAATTAAAAGTTAGACAGATAGATAGATAGATAGATAGATAGATAGATAGATAGATAGATATGAACAGACTGTAGGAAGAAGATTTATTTATATATCTTAATACATGCATCTAACCAACTCTTCTATTTTCATGAATCGTTATGACAGTCTTCCCTCTAAGTATTCCCCAAAAAACAATGAATGACGTTATAATTCATATATATTTTTTTTGTAGATATTGTTCATCATACGAATTAATTTTTAATTAATTATTTTATTGCTAATTTAAAGAAGACATTTTTCGATCGGATGCATACATAAATTTTAATAGCATTAATGCCATATACGTCATGCTATATAAATTCTTGCAGGCTTCCTTGTAAGAAGTCCGTTAGAGTTAGTGATTATCATAATTTTCTGAGAATTATTTAAATAAACCTCAAAGTATTCACAAAACCAACGATGATTTATGCTTTATAATTAATTACCGACAAGACATTTCTAGATTGCATTGAATCTTTGCACACACACACACACACACACACACACACACACACACACACACACACACTTAACATCGCAATCTGGTAAAATGGCGCCTCACACGAAAACGCGTAGGAAGAAGAGGTGTGCCACCAAATTCCCACACAAACAAAAATTGCGCCGATTGACATTCATTGGCTAAACAATTACGAAGAGCAAAGAGAGGACGTGATCACAGACGGCGTATAACGTTTCAGTAATAATGCAAAATTTAAAAATGCGGCATAAATTCATAGTCAATAACAGTGACGACGTGGAGAAATAGTGATTTTAGCAGAAAACTTGCTCAATCCAACGGTGTTATTGTGCTCCCTGTGGCTATTGAAATTTCCGTCGAAATAAATAGGCACCATTACTTTCGAAGTGACAATCATGTGTTTGTTTGTCTAACATTTTTTACAGAGCGCACACAAGAATAAAACTTCAAGGTGCGCACAAATATGAAATGTTCCCTGTCTTGGGACGTGTATTGTTTGTGTGTTCATAGTCAAATACCAATAATATGCATCTTCCTGAAAGAGATAGTCGACATTATATGCAGTTTTATAAAGCTCATTCAAAAACTGCAATTAAAATAACAATAATGAAAGATGTATAACACAAGTGATGGCTGTCTTGAACCAACTCGTTTTGTTTCTACTGTGGCATATAAAAATGTTAAGAGAAAGAAAAAAAGGGCAAATTCAACAAGCATCAAAACGTAATATTTATACTCATGTAGCTAGTATGATATTCAAGAGAGACAGAAACAGCGATCGAAGAGTTTTTAACATACCAACTGTAGATAAAGTAGCAATGATTTTCAGAAGCATTCATGGCTAACCAACATTTGAATTTTATTTTAGTATTTATCCTCGAAATAATGAAATGCCCATAATCAAAGTGAACATATTGAGTACAAATCTCTACCAATGATATACATATTATTTAATCCCTATGGAAAGCAGGATAGCAGCCAGAAATTATCATTAATCCTGAACTGATTAATATGAGTATATGTATTAAGATAAGTATGCTGCCCAAACAAAGTTACCCAATCTGCAAATACACACAATTCACTTTAACATAGAGGAAAGTGATTTCACCAATGGCTTGTCGATTCTTAACTTTAATTTGAGTTTATTAATTTAACAAGTGTCTAAATGTTGAACAATATCAATAATTTTCTAGTGCAAGAATTCATGTAAGGTGGATAGTTATCTTATAATTCACGGCTCTCCTACGACTATAAGTGAAAGGTACGATGATGCCATAAAAATGATTGAAATATTTGGTAAGCTAGATTTATTTATCGTTATGAGGTGCAATCCATCAGGAAGTGAGATCAAGAATAACATCTGTTGAGTAAAATAGCTTTCAAGCAGAGCAGATAGTGTAGCAACAGAAACCTAACATGGAATCACGCTTGTTACTGAAGTACATCTTAAAAATAATATATTTGGTGGCGTTAGTACATTTTGTTTTTCTATCGAATTTCAAAAGCGGGGTTTACAAAATGCGCATAAGTTTAAACAAAAATGATAAATGCTACGATCTTGGTGAAGATAACAACGTCGTCGTGTGTTGAGAAAGACATGATCGTCATATGGAACCGAGAATTCATAGAATCGTTACAAATTTCAGGACTCATTGGCCATGTGACATTTTCAACCCTGAAGCTCCGCGCATGGTAAATAATCAATATACAAAAGTCTTCCCCAAGGAATTCAAAGGTAAAACAGAAGCCATTTTATCTGTTTATCACTGTATATATCATAAATATTAATAATGTACATGTGTCGAACGATATAATTGACAAGTGATATGTTTTCCCATGTAATAAATCTCTCAGCTTTAGGCTTAAATGCCGTATAAATATTGAAATGTGTTCTTCAGTCAATTCAGTCAAATATATTTACAACTACAAGAGTTACGATGCTTAAATAGACGGGAATAATAATGAAAATAGAATCATTAATGATGAAATTTCACAATATTTAAATGCAAGATGTACTGGCGTTTAGAAAATAAGGTGCATGACAAATCACAAATAATTGTCAATTCATTTGGAAAGAGAATAAAATGTTTACTTCATTGGAGAAAATGAGTGGTACGCAGTAGAAATGGCCAATCGAAAAATACTCATTTGAAAACGTGCTTTCCTCTCGATATTCATCTATTATCATCATCTATCCATTGTTTATCAGGAGTACGGCACTGGAAATCAAGAATTAGTCAAGATAAAAATTCTTCCGAGAATGTACACAGTCAGTCCAAAAGATATTACTGAGGCTTCATTTGACCAGTTGATAACGCCCATCTGATAATTTGTTTGCCTTATATTCTTTGAATAAGCCTAAAATCTCTGTGCGATTTTATAATAAGTTTGAAGAAAAAATAATAGAAGATTATATCAACGAATTAGAACCTTTTTAGATAATAATATATAAATGCTTAAATGAGATTGATAATACGTTATTGATACAAGGTTTGAAGTAATCTGCACTGGGATTGCTTGATTTAGGATTTATTTCATTAATTGTTTCGACAGGCAAAATAAAATCTTAATGTTTAACAAGAAATATTTCAATGTATTTGAACTACATGGCTGATCATAGATTGTTGCTTATTATCTTAGTCCTTGGTATGACGATAAACTATATCCCCCTGCGAGGCCTCTAATTAGGGGTTTTGAGGAGCGTGGAACCACATTTTAATAGCTGTTGTTCCCAGATCCACTCAGACCCGGGGTGGTAGCACCGGTTAGGGTTCCAGCTACGGGCAAATAGTAAACGCCCAAACCAAAATTAAACACTATCAAAGTATAAAAATACATTTTATAGTAAAAATAGCAATATATTTTTATAGAGAAATTATGAAATTACTTCAAAGTGCTCAAGAAAATTAAATTTCGGCATTAAATGACCCATAAGGATGTTGATATGCCGTTTAAACAAACAAATCAATCAATCCGTATTATCTGCTAAGACATATTTGTACACTACATTAAAAGGATATATGAGTCATAAATATAAAACTATTCTTCGATTTACAACCAAAGTAAAAGTAAATTATTTGTTAGCTGGATAAACGGCGCAGAAAGAATTCAAACTTCCTGTTCCTATCTTGGTTACAACAACATACTTTTTGTGAATGCCTTCCAATGTCAACAAAACATTTATTGTTGTAAGAATCATCATCTTGCTAATACATAATATAATGAGGTGTGACAACCGTTTAGAGACAAAGTTCTTCTTGGTCCCAAAAGATTCAAATGCAGATATCATTGAGACATGCATTTGAAGATTCACTACTTTAGAAGTATGGAGAGAAATTTAATCTAATTGAGAATACAAGAGCGGCAGAACAGAATGACTTCTCAATATTACATTTTAAATTTGATGATACAACTCTACAAAATGATATAATAGTAGACAAAACATAACAAGAAATCATATGGTGAATCAATAGATGAATTATCTAAACAAAATTAATTTAAAAAAATCAGTACTTAAGTTAAATACTAGGCAGAAACTCAATCCACGTGACTTTTTTTTTATTGCACGCATGATACTTCCGGTCTTCCGTAGATTTGATTTGCAGTCGTATTATTAACACAAATTATTTTTTTTATATATATACTGGTGTTCGTTAGTTTGTAAGAAGCTTTGAAAATTATAATCTGTAAATATATATCTATATTAACATTCGTTAAATTGTACAAACTTTTCCCTAATTTTAGAAGAATTAACATTTAATGTAAAAATAAAAAATATTTCAGAAATAACAAATAATTGTTTTAAAAATTCATTTTTCATCGAAATATCTTTTTGCTTTCAGAAAATATTGTCCCTGTTCATTAAATAAAAGCAATTAAAAGCTTTTGAAATTAAATAATATTTTTGTTTTAACTGAGTTTTGTATGTTACAATTCAGAGATGATTTTCAGGTAGAGGTGGTCCAACTAAAACAATAAAAAAAAACATGATTTGGTTTCCTCAAAGCCTTTAATCACTAATCTGCCCCAAATTGAAATTATAGAGTTTTCATACAAATAGTTAGGGTGGGGAGGTAATAAATATGAAAAAAAATTTTGGCATGACTTTAAAAAAGGAAAACATATTTATAATTCCATCATTTGTTAATAGTTTCTGAAAGTTTCATTAAAATCCGACAATTATTTTTATTTTTGCAAGATTTTCAAAATTAACGTCTGTCGTACAGAAAAAAACGCGCTAAAATTTTATATGTTACGCTGGACACGAAGAGAAACAAGGTTTTTCAATCAAAATTTAGAATGTTCTAAAAAGAGGGAAAAAATTTTTTAAATAATTAAAAAATACTTTGTCCTTTCCTCTTAATACTAACATGAACATTTAGAGGCTAAAATGTTGTTTTCGTCAAGTTTGGCGTCTTTTTTCATTATGCTATACTCTTTTTAGCGATCTCATGAAGGTACCTATATGTATATATGTGTACAGGCATCCTTCGATTAATGCGTTTTCGATTAGTACGCTAAAATTTTTATATACCAAAATTCGATTAGTGCATACATAATACCCGATTGGTGCGGTAAAATAATCCTCACTTTAACCATAGTAATTAAAA